CTGCTCTGCTGACCTGATTGAGAGGTGACAGGTATATACCTCTGTACGGGAAGGAATAAATTCCATAGCTTGCATGTCTTACGTTTATCTGAAAGTAGGCATTTCCGTTCGAAAATCTGCCTACCTACGTCGAGCAGGGATTAATTAGCTCATCTGTTTGTTTTTGCTCGCGGTTCCCTTTCAGGATGATGTACTACCTTCGTTTGTCCAAACAGCAAACAACCTAGGCGTGAGGACAAAGTAGCTGCTTCTACGTTACAGGTAAAAGGTACCTATAGTAGACATAACTTTGGACAACTGGTCAGACGACGCCTGAGGCCTGCGATCACAAGTCCTTTCCCTGCGGCGCACTTACGCGTATTCTTCAGGATATCTCTCCTCCTGCGATTGGGGGATAAAGACAAACTCCCGTTGCAGGCCACATCCATGTGCATTTACTCTTTCACTTGCTCCGGTGGAGCAGGATACATCGGCCGAACAAAGAGGCGCCTGGCAGAGAGGATACATGAGCACATAACAGCCTGATTAAATAAAGGTGAAAATAGATCGATCTCGAGTTCTTTTGTCGCACATCCTGTCGATACGAATCATCGAGTCGATACTAACGAAGCATTTCAGGTTGTCTACCGGACACCAGCTAACTTTTCCAGGGGCCTACGCCAACAGATGCTTGCAACCACCAAAGCGGCGGCTATACGGCTAGCGAATCCAGTGTTGTGTTGCCAGAAGACACTGACACAAGCCCTTATTACTTCCGCGGTCGACTCCGAAGCTAGATGACTATCCCATGTCCCTCACACCCCATAGTGACAGTCGTTCGCTTCGTGCAAACAACAACAATTATCACTTCATGTACCTGACCTCTGATCATCGCCCACAACCTAACCCAATGCTTATAAATGTTTTGGCCTGCTGAAGATTGCCCAAACACATTTGTTCGCCAAACTGGTTTTTCAAATTAAGCCTGGGACTATTTGCAGAACAACTTTTCATGTTCAGAATTACTGAGCAACAGATTAAGTGGCTGCGCAAACCATTTTACGTACTTTAGTTGCAAGGAAATATTTTCACAATTTTGCGAAACACAGAACTCACCGTAGACATAGCAAATGACCACGACCTCGGCGAGACAGACGAACAGCAGGGGATAGCCCGAGAGGGCATTATCAATGAGATTGAAGATGTAAAACCCACCGTTGCAGACCATCGGAAGAGCAATCAAGAAGTTAAAACTACATAGGCAGACTCTGAAAAGTCAAAATAGGGCAACTGGTTACAGCACGCCAGAATTTATAGGATGCGTTAACTAAGCACAACAAGACTGAGCACCTAAACCGTGTTTCTGGGCGTAGACCGTCTGATGTTATGACATAAG